AATAAATTCACACATCCAGAGTTAAATAGTTCAGGACTGAGCATTCTATTCAGTGGTGTAGCATGTGTATATAAACATGGCACTGACTGTACTAAGTTTTAACTTAGTATAAGAGTTACCAATGCCATGTGGAAATTCAGATTTTATTAATCAGAGTTATACCATTTAAAAAAAAGGAGCAGTCAATATCGTCCCTACCCATGCGAATACACGCACATGTACATTGCATATATATATATATATATATATATATATATATATATATATATATATATATATATATACATGCATATACGCGCACTTACAGACATATATTATACTGAGGCGGAAGAAACGTGGACGGAAGGTTCCATTTGAGGTGTTGGATAGGAAAGCGAAATTAATTTAAAGTTAAATAAGAAAAAAGGAAAAATAACACAATTAGTGAGAGAAAAAAATGAAAGAATTAAAAACTTAGATAAAGTCAAAGAAACTTAGAATGAAATCAAAGAAAAGGACAATTTTTCATTAGAAAATGGTATAAAATTGACGATTCCTTACATTCTGAGAGGATCGTACAAGTGACTTTCCAATGTTCAACCTTCCAACGCTAATGAGTGATACTTCCCAAGTTTTATAAAGGTAGATCATGCACCCTACTACATTTTGGTGGAAATGTTATCAAAGACTTCATTAGACGAAGGGGTAGAGAAAAGGGAAAGAAAAAAAGAAAAATAAATACATTTCGGGTCATTTCACAACTTGCTAGACGCTAAAAGATGAATTTTAATTTTTCACTCAAATAGATGTCAGTCAAAAGCAGAACATTGTTAGGTTAGTACTATTATTATTATTATTATTATTTGTAAATGTTTTTTCTACTAGTTGTCATCATTAGCAAAGTTTTTAAGATCATCATTATAGAATAGGTGATTCAGTTTGTCATTCTCAGTTATTCAGTAGGCAGCTGAGTGACACTTGTGCAAGGCAGAAGAGTAGTGGTGACAATGAATCTCCTTGGAAGATCGCGCTTTTGGTATTGATTGGTCTCGATGTTAATGACCCGTTTGTATGTAGATTTAGTATCGTCCTCCAGTTTTTCATGCCCTTCATTATCAATTTTAATGTTGTGGGGCATACTCTGCATATTTTTACGCTTTTCTTTATCCATGAGTGTGGAGCACTATCGAACACCTTTTTTAGTCGATCCATACTGTCAATAAATTTCTTTGTTTTCACCACTTCCAATATTGCTTTATTGATAATCGGTTAGTCCTTGCACACGTATCTTCCTTTTTTACACCCCTTCTGTTCTACTGGGAGTAAATTATTTTTCTCAAGGAAGTTTTCTTCTTCTCGGTTATGATAGAAGTTAGAATCTGGTACACTGTTGGTAGGCAAGTGATAGGTCGATAGTTCTTCAGGTTCTGCATCTCTTCTGTTTTGTGGAGTACGTATGTTACTCCCCACGTGTTCCATGTGGGTATTTTTTTTTATTTATGATTATATCATTGTACACTCGTGCGAAGTCTTGTTGGATTCTAGATTTATTATTATTATTATTTTTATTTTCTTTGATTTCTGGCATTTACACATTTCTTTCCGGGTCCCGCCCAGGGACCTAAGGTTAGAAATGGCGTCATGACACTTTCCACTGACAAAAAAAAAAAAGAAGAAATTACATAGATAAAGCCCTTCGCAAAGTGTGGGCTGTACTTGTCAGAAAATTTTTTTGTATCTCCTTGACGCATGGACTTCCAGGAATCCCTTCAATTAGTCTACTGCAATCTTTTCCAACCAGTCCTAGGGATCCAACTACAACAGAAATTGTTGATGTTCCCATATGCCACATTTTCGAGATTTCTATTTCAAGGTCCTTGTATTTTGACAACTTTTGAATATCTTCAAAGATACATTGCTGTCAGCAGGTACTGCCATATCAATAAGGAGGCACAGTTTTTGTTTGTGGTCTTTAATAACAATATTTTGGTTTGATTGGTCTTTAATCAACCTTTCTAACCTTAGGTCCCTGGGCAGTTGAAAGAAATTAAACGCCAGAAATCAAAGAAAATAAAAATAAAAATAAAATAATAATAATAATAATAATAAGAAGAAGAATAAGAAGAAGAAAAAAGGAGGAGGAGGAGTAGGAGGAGCTGAAGAAGAAGGATGAGGATGAGAAGAAGGAGGAGGAAGAAGAAATATGAGTTAATTAGAGAACAAGAAATCAATTACAACAATGGGATAATCCACTTCAGTCATCAGATCTTTCCCTATAATTTTTCACAAAATATAAAAATGCTCTGAAAAGACAAAGAATTACTGACAATATCTTGCAAACACCAACAACATAAAAAAAAAAATAATAATAATAATAATAATAATAATAAGAAGAAGAAGAAGAAGAAGAAAAAGAAGAAGAAGAAGAAGAAGAATGAGATGTAGAAAAAGAAAAATAAGAAGAAGAGGAGGAGGAGGTATTATAAGAATCTTATAAGATTAGAAGAGCACTGATGCCGCGTTTGACACCTTTTTGTCTCTTTTAGTCTAATACAGTAGTAACTTTTTTGGTCAGCAGTCAAGACGAGCTGCTATATTCTACTTATGCAAATTAGACTTTTGAATTTTCCTGCGCGTTTTTCGGCGTTTCAAAATCTAACGTTGCCAATCCAGTTGCCTCTCGACTGACTAGAACTTTATTCCTTTACCACCATAGGAATATCTTATTTCAACAATGTGAGGATCCCTTTTGAAGCTGCAGAAGATAACTGTCGCGAGCAAAAGTTCGTATTCAACTAATGGCGTATTTTATCCCTCGTCAGGGGCCTAATAAAATATAGGCAGGATGTTACTGAACGAAGATTAAATCACAGGTCAGGAATCAGAAGACGTTTTTAGAGACAACGACACTGTCGTCGGCAGGTGTTAATCCACCCCTGGCTTCGAACCAAATCATCAGGCAGGGACTATTACCTTTGAACAAAAATTTTTCACTTTATCTCCAAAAAATACAAAAATGCTTGAAAAGACAAGTCCAGAACATTTACCAGCGGTCAATTCAACATTTCACCTGATGAGACGACCGGTCATTCTTTATAACTTTGAACCCAACATTAAAAAAATCAAAGAAAAACTTAATATCCACAGTGAGTAATAATAATAATAATAATAATTCTTTTGAACTGATAGCTTTTCTTTTCCCGCCTTTGGCCATCTTGTTTTCTATTTTGGAAGAAGATTTTTCATTGATCCCGAAGGGATGAGAGTTACTGTTTGAAAAAAGTTTAAATAAGATAAACAGAGGAGGATTCGGCTATCTTAATATATTTTATTTTATGCACTTGTTGATTATTCCTCTCACTGTTCATTCACGCACATTTTTATCTTTTATCTTTGCTTTAGACTCGGTAGTTTATGGTGTCTGGCACAAGGCCACAATAAACCAGCACTGCATTAACGGGTCTGCAAACAACATGTTCCCAATACTGAATAAGGCTAATTTCGAGTTTTATTTTAAATTTTTATATTAAGCTCTACTAGCCATATCTCAAGCAAGATTGCTTGGTAAGCTTGAAAATATTTTGCATTTAAGTATTATATTTTCTTTCATATTATTATTATTATTGTTGTTGCTGTTTTGTGGCCTGTTTAGGGACCAGAAAGAAAGGCACAGAAGATGAAGGTAGGTTGAACAAATGTATTGAAATAACAGATATATACAAAGCAAGATTGTTAGTAATAAGCAGATAAAGGTGTACGTCCGAACGGTAGGTTAACACTGCGTCTTCGTTCCCCAACCGACTGCCCTACGACTCTTGCTTGGAAGTCTCGCAGTTAGTATTTATGAAAGGAGGAAGAGATCATTCTACTGCGGGTGGGTTTACCACAACAATTATTATTGTTGTAGTTGTTTTTGTTTATTATATTATTCACCTTTAGAATGTGCGATGTATTTCTGTCGTATCCTGGATATGCGAACGATCCTGTTAATAAAATCGACTAACATAGTCCGCTTATATGGCCTCTAACTAAAAGAGATTTCAAATGTGATTACAATGTCGCCTTGACTGATTCATCTTGAAATTTTCAACAAAATAACAAAGTCAATATTTTTTTTTATATTTCCGTGCATAGTTCTGTAGTGCCAAGCCTACATTTTCTCGAATTCTCATTGGTTAATAAATACATGATACTTATTATAGGACAATTTAACCATGGCAAGTAATTCGAATTTTTCTCTAAAATCACGGATTGGTCCATTTCCTGACCAATCGCGTATTTTAGTATATTTTCTATATTTCTGGCGCTAAGCTATCCGGAGCCTACCCATCGAGATAAAAGAATTTCGCTATCAACAAAACCACCAGTTGCAGTTCAATTCTTGGAAAATAAGGCACGGCGCTATATTGACATTTTAATTCTTAATTATTACTCATTCGAGTAATCATACTAATTCCTGTTGATATCACTCATGAACATTACATCTTTCTACACTGATAAAACACTGTGGAACTATTCTGTATTTAGCTAAGACTTCAATTGAACTTTGTAGTTAAATTACATTCAATTTTGTACTCAACATTTATTAGCTAAACTTACCCTTTTTTATCACGGAAAAAGGGGAACAACTTTCTTTATACTATTGTTGATATTTGTATATCATTGTTAATACAATATTTTATTAATGTTCATTGAGCTTGATTTTTCCTTGATGTTTAAAATTTAATGTATGGATGTTGATATCTTGAAACACGCAGCCTCATTTAATTTGATCAACCCAACTACTAATCTCACCATAACAGTTCATTTCCTTAATAAGATGGATGTTTGATTTGAGAAATTTTGCAAATATAATTGCAAATATTTACAGAACTTATTTTGTTTAGTGAACATATATATATATTATATATATATATATATATATATATATATATATATATATATATTTTTATTCAACAGTTTGATTCGGCAAAGAATTCGCGATAATTTGTATCAAATCAACTCAGAAGTGTAATGTTTAAATGTTCACTTTAAACACGAATCCCAAATTTGATCTTCATTGTTTCTCTCACTTTGATCACAAATTTTCTCTCACTCAACAAAATTTCAAGAATTATCTACGACAAACTTCTTGTGGAAGAACAACTCTTTCTTCTTTGAAAACTTTCCTTTCGGTTGGAATCTACTTTCCTCGTGTAATTTTAAGCTATTATCTTATAAAAAAAGGATTTTACTTTTTTAAACCCTGACAAAAGAAACACATTAACAAAGGTAAACAAATTCTACCGTATTCTTAATATTAAAATTCTTAGCTAAAAAGATTTGTTTAAAAACAGTTTGTTTGACGCCGAACTGATTTATTCATTACAAATCTTATATTATTTGCATAAATTTTGAACACACTAAAGAAATACACTTTTCACTTGCCATAAAAAAATAAAAAATTTATGTATAAAACATCACTTTTAAATTCTGCGACTCAGTATAAATTCTCTGAGTTATTTAATCATTCAACTTTGTATATTATTGTAATATAAATGCTTTTTATTATTTATTTTAAAAAACATTGTTGTCTTATATTTATAGTGTTTAACAGCCTTGTGCCATACAAGTAAATTAAAATGTTTATGGAGATGTTTTCGTTTCCCCCCAACAAAAAAATAATACCTTCTGATCTACATTTTATTTAAACAAACTAATCACTCTGCAACAGTAACATTTTTAATATAATTTCTTTTGAGTGTGGACACATGCATAATTTAATGAAACGCATTTTTTGGACAACTTAGTATTTATTTTAACAAAACTTTACTTGAAATTCTTGAGTAAGGTTTTGAATTTTATGTTGTCATGTCTGGTTTTCTTTCTAAGGTTTTTCAGAATTATTAGTTTCCGTTTCTTCATCATACTGCCAATATGTTTCTCTAAAGAACTGGTGTAAACGTTCGATCTATCTAACATACCGATTGGATAAACTACCATCTATCCATAGAAGAATTATCGATATTTTAAAAGTATCTATTACGTCATTTTTTTTCTATTTATATGCGGAAATATTCCAATTTGTAATGTAAAATACTATTTTCTTGCTTGACCATTAATCCAGTAGCATTTCGTACTTGTATATATGTACGGTAACTTTCTAGGTAATTCATACAGAATAATTCTATTTCTCGTTCACCAGGAACATTGTCTTTTTCTCGGTTCTTTCCCCAGATGTTTACTGGGGATTTTCAGGATAGTTTTTCTTCAGATTTTTCCTCATAAATGCTATTCCGTTCCTACGCATCGATTACATAGGCATTGGCACTTGCTAAATGATACGTTTAATTTCTCTAATTTCTTACATGTTACGGGTTTCTCTTGTAGAGCCGATATGTTTCCCTATGGAATTGGTTTAGACGGAGGCTATATCTAACATACTGATTGGAAACACTTTTGCCAATTATCCGTGCCAGCATTATCAACCTTTTAAAATTATCTGTTTAGAAAGATATATCTTTCAAATTATTTGATCATCATTCGGAACGTATATTTTAAATATTATATAATTTCCTATAGGTAGTTCATTGCTTGTGATTCCAAACTATATTTTCTTACATTTTTATCGTATGAAATAACATTTAACATACAAGTCTGCTGCAATCGTTTATTACGTATTTCAATCATTTCACCCCAATGGAGGCGTCAAAACTACTAGTGTGCAGGGGGTAACAGGGAGTGAAAGTTAGTGGAAGACTTAGAATAGGGATGATTGAGGAAAGAACAAATGATGATGGGACTCAAAAAGACAGAAGATGGCGATCGATGCCGCATTTAAATTTTTGAAGAAGATACTTATCAGGGAAGAAGGAAACGGAAGTAAGTCCCATAGGCGGGAACTGTTGGAGTAGAAATGGTGGTTGCCTTTAGCTATATTAACAGTGAAAAACTGAAACCTAGAGACGAAACTAGTTGCCCGCTTAAATATATGTATACCGGGCACCAGAGAAACAAGCTCGTCAAAGCAGTCGCCATGAAAATATTTGTAGAAAAGACAGAGGAAAGCCTCCAAACGTCGGTGAGAAAATGACTTAAGTTGATATGCATTGTCATGATCGAAAACATTACAGATTCTTCTTTGGATTTTGTCAGGTGTCTTGAGACGTTCAGCAGGAACACAAGACCAGATATGGCAACAGGATTCTATGCACGGGGAAATGGTAGATTTGTACATGTGCAAGATGGATTCTAACAAGAAAAATTTTCTGGTACGACACAGTGATTCAAGTTTACTTGCAGTAGATGCAGCTATTGATGCATATAGTAATTTTATTTTAGATTGGAAAAAAAAATATATCTTTTTAAAATATTTTGTTTCTTAATTCTTTGCCTGTGCTTATTTTAGCGGAATTTCAGAAGACTTATTCTTCAGTTCTTTGTAAGATTAGCGAAGACATTCTTTGCACTGTCGCTTGAAGTTTTTTCATCGACATGTTTTCTCATTCGGTTATGTCCAATATGAGAGAAAGTAAAAAGCAAACCTGCAAGAATATTCTATAGCTGCTTCTCTACCCTTATACAATGAAACAAAATATGTTTCGATATTAACTCTGGTCACTGTATTACGGTTTCTATGTCATAAATTAATGTTCTACTTAAAGCGAGAGAAATTCTTTATTTGATAGTCGTCGGCATATTTTTTTATATTATTTTTACCTGTGTTTGTCTGCCAGGATAACCGGAATTGGTAATTCCAATTTCCTTCTCATATTTCTAATCTGTTTCTCTAAAGAATTTGTTTAGACGTCGGCACTAGCAAACTTTGTGATTGAACACACGATTACCAGAAAACCAACTCCGTGTATTTTTTCTTCACTGGGCTATGTCCATTACGGTAAAAGAATTATCTACACATAAAACGTATACGAAATATTAGATTAGAAAAATATTTACAGACAATGTTTCATCACATTAGGTCGATCGTCCGCCTTTTTTTAAGTGTTCCGTCATATTTCTGAAGCGATATTTTCAATTTTCGTCTTCGAAAGTAAAATTACTTCTCACACCAGTTGTTAGAGATAGTAAATTTTGGAGTATCTGATAAAAAATACCCATGCGGCAAAAACAGCAAGGCAGTAGGGACAAAATAAATTCTTTGTTTTTGTTTTTTCTTCCTGATAATCAGTACCAAATGTCTGCATGATTATTTCCAGTTAGTCATAATGAATGCCTCCTAATTTGGTTGCCACCAGATTCTGCTGCGCCTTATTTTCGCCTTTTATTGTTCCGCTAACAGAAAATATATCCATTTTAAAACTAGGCCTCATATTAAATGGTAAACCATCTGACGACCATGTAATAGAACATTTCATTGGAAAATTCATTAGATCTATATATATATATATATATATATATATATATATATATATATTTAAAAGAAAAACAGACCAATTTAAGGTACGATTAAAATAATTTATTTCACCAGAGTCCTTTTAAAAGTAGTTAAAAGTATTTCATCCTCCTTGGGATTACCTGTACGTTTTACCAAGTTCTTCATAACTTTATATATATATATATATATATATATATATATATATATATATATATGGTGTAACCGGATATAAGAGAGCTGTCGGGACCGGAGAAGTATCTTATATCCGGGTTTGGTCTATTTTTATATCCATTAACAGAGGCTCTAATTTGAGACAAAGAAAATCTCTCTTATATCCGGGTTACACTGTATATATATATATATATATATATATATATATATATATATATATATATATATGACGAGTGGATGGAGTACTTGCTGCTGGATAGTCTTCCTAAAACTTCTGGAGTCGGGATGCTGAAAGTAACAACAATCAATTAATTGACAAACTTTATATTTGTATTAATTTCTCTCTCTCTCTCTCTATATATATATATATATATATATATATATATATATATATATATATATATATATATATATATATAACGTCGGAGATCCGTTTCAACGGCACGGCGTAATCTGATTTTTGACGTAGGTTGGAACTCATCTACATAAGCACCCACGAGACTGCCTTAGTCTTAAGAGCCATAATGAAGGTCAAAGAGTTACACTCCCTCAAAAAAAAAAAGGTGGGGGGGACCCAAACGAGAGATAGCGAATGTAGCACAATCCAATATGACCTACAGTCATTAAAAAAATACGACGTTTTCCTCATGCAGCGCTGCGTGACGACGTATTGTAATATGGGAAATTGGGCCATAAGCACAAAATGCAGTATGTCGGGTCCGAAGTAACACGAGGGTATATATAAAAATATTTTCTATATATATATATATATATATATATATATATATGATATAATGAAATGTGCATACACCTGTGTTACCCTTACTGGAATATGATTGGCTGGTGTCCGTCATAAATACAGACGGACGTGTAGGTACGACAGAGTCAAGAGCCTTAGTCTGAGAGCTAAGTCTGTAACGACGCTTATTGGACTACGCCATTGATCTACACTCCTTACCTGCGACTACGACGCGTACCTGTCGATTACTGCTACCATATTCTACTTGGTTATAGTAGAAAGAAACACTTAGCTACTTCGTTCAAATATATCTCTTTCCGGACATATCAGTTGCTGAAGGTCGCGAGAGACCTTAAGCCCGTGTAGAAAGATTATGGAAAGTAAAGCATAATTTTTTTTTAAATCCACATTACAACCAAAAACCTTTGCGGTTTCTCTCTTTTCAATATATACACATTGCTCTCGTTGGAATTTTTTATGTGTATATTTATATTAAACAGTCTTCTTTATCTAATGATTGCGGCTTATCTTTTATGACAACAGCCTCCAGAATTTTTATTTCACTGCGTCGTATATAAAACTTTGGTGTTATCTACTAAAATGTATCTGATATTAATATTATTTTGCTATTTTGTTTACATATAGCGCAAATTGCACTAAATTTAGACAAATGACAATTCAACCTACAAGAGAGTTTGTTGTATATGTGGCCAATGTAAGAATTTAACGTTTGTTTGTGTAGATTATACATTCTCCCAAGGGACATAAAATTGACAAACAGTACGATGTATTTAGGCATACGTAAGTAACGCAATGGGAATTGATGCAGATTATAGAATAAACCCGAATTCAATGCCCGGCCTCGTCTTTCAAGGTAAGGCTATTTCGTAAGGCATAAATCCATCCATTCT